GCTTGTCGTAGTCTCGCAACCTCCTCTTCAGCGAGAGCTTGTCGTAGTCTCGCAACCTCGACTTCAGCGAGAGCTTGTCGTAGTCTCGCAACCTCGTCGTCCATTGTAAAGCGAAGTGTTCTGAAGCGGCGACTATAGGGCTATGAGCTGAAGATGGCTTTGTTGTGGGTAGGGAATGGCGGACGTTGTTTGGGTTCTGCCGTTAGATGGGGTTGGGGTTTGCGAAGGTGCGAAGTGCTCTGAAGCGGCGACTATAGGGCCATGAGCTGAAGATGGCTTTGTTGTGGGTGAAGAACGGCGGACGTTGTTTGGGTTCTGCCGTTAGGTTGGGTTGGGGTTTGCCAAGATGGCCAGTGCGGCCGTTGCCAGAGGGACGTGCGCCGGAGTTTCCCCGTTAGCTTGTCGGATTAACTATCTCGCGCACCCTCGCGCAACCTCGCGCAACCTCGATCGGTGGTACTCCAAGTGTTGTTTTAGTCTTACGCACTTGGGCATGGCCGCTGAAGATCGGACGGCCACGTCACGTAGATCTGCCTCCTTTGATGAGACGGCCCAGCCATGTCGTAAGGGCGCGGGAGATATCCAGACTCGAGGCCAGACCATGGTTCCCTTGGTTCCGCCTCACCCATCAACACCGCGATGATGTAGGCTTCCAGCATATATTCCGCAACAGCCCAATTATCTCAACAGGACCCGGTTTTAATGAGTTCAACACTCGGAGCGGTCGCGTTGCCCTGCTGCCAATTGGCCATGGGTATTTTTCCGCGACCTGCTCTGGCCTTCCTCGGCCCATCCACTCACGCTCCGGATCGCCGCCCAGCATGGTGGCACCACGACCTACCCTGGAGCCGGCGACCTCACACGGATACACCGAATACGCCACCGCCGACCTCTGCGACGATCCAGGCCCTCCTCGACTTCTGTTTACAGGAATTCACTAAATACTGGTGCCTCCATTCCTTGCCTCCAGAAAACCGTTCCCTCGTTACCGAATGTGATTGAGACGACGAGAACATCTACCCGCGTTTATAGCAGCATCTAAACTTACAACCGGTGCACCACAGTGTGCTGCCTGCCTTCCAGCGATGACAGTCAACCTTAGCCCCACGAATCGCTATTTAGACCTTTCTTCCGCGCGGTTCCGTCTCCAATGCAGTGACGTTCTCCCATTCCTTGCGATATCTCGGGGTACAAGCCCTTCGTAGCCCCTGCCATGCTGTGGCTACGATGCGTCCTGTCAAGAGTGGTTGGGATGCACGCGGGAAGATATGTAGGTTGAACCGCCTCGGCTGGTAGAAAGGGAAGGTTTCCAGTTCTGGAGGGAACGCTCGTGGCAGTCCAGTTCTGGAGGGGTTTCCAGCTCCGGAGGAAAGGGGGGGCCAGCCCAGTTCTAGCCGCGGCTTTAGCTCTGAGGTTTGTCCGACACTGTTCCGCAACCAGCCCAGTTTGACACGCATACCGCAGACCTCCGATGGGATCGGTATCTTGCCCCGAGCAGCCTTCCTCCCTCCTCGTGCGTTGTGAACCAGGGCTTTCGGAGAACCACGTCGCAGGGTCACCGGAGGTAGACGTGGCGCTTTGCCACGATCTCGAACATCGTGGGGGGACGAGGTATGCCACGAGCGTCTCGCCGGAAGCGGACGTGGTGCCTTCCCGCGGCTTCGAACATCATGGGAGGGTTGTGATCGGTGTCTGGAACCGCCTGCTGTTCTGTATTAGCCCTCTTCGTGTGGACCGCGAGATGAGAGCACCTCTCTCGAGCCGTGGCTGTCTCGAAACGGTGCCCAGATAGACGGCGTCGTCATCGGATTCGCACAAATCAAACGCGTTACGATTACCCGGGTTGGCGCGCCCTCTAGTACAGCAGGCTGTGATCAGAGGTGTCACTCTGTTCCGTCGTGCTAACTGGACGAGACGAGCGTGTCTTTTTCGTTTGACCTGAGGCTGAGCTGGCGCGGAATTTACCACCCACGGGCCTCGGCTTCCGGGATAGTCCGACGGAGGGACTGCGCACGATTCCTCCAATACTTTTGTAGAATATTTTCGAGGATCCTCAATGGTCCTATTACGTTTGCGCGTCTTTTCGGGGTACTGTAGCTGGTCCTCAGCCAGAGGATACACCTGTTGCCCTTAGGAGGACTGGCCTGCGGACGGCGGGAAGCTCTGGTCCTGTGGTACCGTAGAGCCGTATTTGCAGAACACCTCCGGTCCAGGACGAGGGTCCGAATCTGGCCCCTCAAAAGCCCCGCTCGAAATGGACGTTATTTTGAGATTGGGACCTCCGGACTGAGAACCACTCGGTCCGTCCCGGCCGTCGGAGAGAGCACGTGACTACATGTCAACATTGCCCCGAACCTAAAACCAAGCCATGCCACAGGATTTCGGCGTCAGGTCTGAAAGGCGAGGCCAAGAGGACATCGCTGGTTGGAAGTCGACACCAGCCGGCTTCTCGTAACGCTGGATACCTGAACTCTAATCACGAGCAACAGGCATTGGACGACGGCTGAGGCGCGGCTCAAGCGGCAAAATTTATAGTATGCCGGACTATCGATTAGGTGAGCGAAACGATCCGCATCTAGACAGAGCCCGAATGTTCCTTCGAACAGTGCTCCTAATCTAAGCTGCAGTAACCAGATCCTAGTCGTTAGTAAAGCCCTAAATTTGCAAAGACGGTAATGCTAACAGTTACTAAGGCACAGGCAGAATAGGACCCCTCTTGACCATTGTAATTGCGACCTCGAATAGCCACTAAACCACGTTACGAGCAAGTCGACCTGCAAGACATAACGGACTTCTAGGCTCTCCTCAACGGACTAGAGACCCTTAAATCTAGTCTATAGAGACTACATAATAGCTTAGCCGCTAAAGAGTACGCCGCTAAGAAGCCTCTAATAGTAACGACAAAGGTGTTGCAGGCGTTAGTAGTACACAAGGAAGTAAGAGTGTGTTTCTAAAGTTAGGCATATAAATAACACGATGCAGGTACAATATCGCGGAAAATATGTAGCCCTTAAATTTTGTAGTCTAGCGAAGAGTATCCTCCTCTAGGAAGGTTAAAAGAGAGACCTTATGCTGTTCTTAGGTGAAGGAACCGTCGATGGCCAACCACTGCGTCTTGGATTCTTGATACGCTTGGCTGGAGACGCAAGAGTCGAAGTTCCAGCCGAACTATATTGTCTCTGGTTCGGGGAGGCTCCCGTCAACGTCCCAAGCGTCGAACATATCCAATGATAGCTCGGGACTGACCGTGGGCCAGTCAAGCGTCCACCCACTAAACGCGTCCAAGGAACACCCCCCCCTCTTCTGGACCTTGCCGGCGAGTTCGTGTCGGAGCTTCTTGGTCTTATTTCGGAGTACTGTCTCGTGAAACAGAGGCAGGACCAAGTCCTTGACCATGGACTCCCAAGCCGGTGACGAGAGCGACGACACGTCTGAAGACGCGGTGCGATTGCCCGAGACAGAAGGCTTCCTGGAGCCTGGAGGACTGGTCGAAGCTGCACCACGTTCCGAGCTCTTCCAAGGTAATGGCGATTCTCACATTCTGGGTTCGTGGGCTTACTGCGGACCAAATGTCGCCGAGAATTTATCCGAACTATGCCTAAATAAGTTAACATCTTCGCGCCAAGACCCGCCCGCCCGCACTTCGCGTCATCCTCCCCATGCTCGCATCCTTCGAAGCACGCCGTCGCAACACAAAAGACACCTTTCCCCCCAAGCCTGCCAGTCGACATGGCTCGTTATCGCGAACAGCCAGTCGCCCAGAAGCATAGGCGGCGTCGGCCTGTACAAAAGAATCAAGGTGCGCCTTCCGGTGATTCCACCCACCACACGCCCGCCGCTGACTTGGTCGATAGGGAAACACACTCGAGGAGTCAGCAAAGCAAAAGCGCAGAGTACGCTTCGTAGAAGTGCACGTCTTAACCCCCAGCATAACGAACATACCCAGAACCAACGCTCTCTCCCGGCGAATAAGACTCTGCGCCAACAGGTATGTCAACTTTGTTCCGCTCCGCCACAAAGGTCAACTCAAGCTGAGCTTCTGTAGGACCGATTGGCTGCTCCACAGTCTGAAAATCGGAAGCGATCCCGCGGGGTCGAAAATCCAGTCGACGACACCCCAACCGCCCCCCTTCGAAGGCGACCAAGGACCGGCTTCGCCGTTAAGGTACCGATGGACCAGGAAGCGCCGTCTTGCGGCAGGAGCACCCAAATCGATCCAGTCGATCATTGGCGGAGGGAACAAACTTGGCCAAGGGAATACTTTGAACCTGACGACACGATGAGTCATCTGCTTGCAAGGAGGAAGTCGACGCCGTCCCTTCGCCGCAAACGATCGGAGCCGGGCTCTCTCACGGCTAGCTCCAATACGCCCAGCGACCAAAAGCCGAGGGAGGAGAAGAGTGCGCCATACCAAGATGCGCGTTACGAAATTCTACTGGAAACGAAAGGGAGCTATATGGGCAGATATGTGGGAGAAAAAGAGGAGGGTGTTACTAGGGAAAGTAAGGACCTTTGCCGAACGTTACTAGAGGCGAAACAGACGGTTCCTGAGGATTCCATCTTCCATGACGACTTTTTCGGGGATACTTGTGAAATGATACGGAATAGGAACGAAGCCAAGGTTATTCAAGACATCGCTCGATTAATCGTCCCTTCGGCCCAATCCTTAGCGATACGTGGTGCCAAGCATCTCAAGTGTTTGATCGAAAGCATCAACGAGGGCTGGAATAATTCCATCCCCTTACTCGGCCCCCGTCCACAGCCCGACTATGCTGTCGGATTCAAGCGAATCGCGTTTACGGAAGATCAACTGTCCAAGATAAAGCCCGCTTTGGGCGATATTATGGACATGTCTTTCTTTATGGCCACGTACTACATGTACTTTCCGTTCCTAGCGTGCGAAGTAAAGTGCGGTGCAGCAGCACTTGACGTCGCAGATCGGCAGAATGCTCACAGCATGACTCTCGCGGTCAGAGCTATCGTTGAGCTTTTCCGGCTCGTAAAGCGCGAGAAAGAACTCCACCGGAGCATCCTAGCTTTCTCTATCTCTCACGACCACGCTTCGGTGAGAATCTATGGCCACTACCCTATGATCAAGGGAAAAGACACTACCTTTTACCGTCACCCCATCCGCAAGTTTGACTTCACAGAACTGGACGGCAAAGAGAAGTGGACGGCATACAAGTTCACCAAGAACGTCTATGATATATGGATGCCAAAGCACTTGGACAGGATCCGCTCTGCCATTGACGAGCTCCCGTCTGATTTCGACTTTGAAGTCCCGCTGCTTCCAGAGTCAGGACTGTCCCAAGAGCTGGAGAGTCATCATCTCTCACGATCATTTACGGAGCCAGAATCTTTACCAGGAGAGCGTGACAGTCGGTCGGGCATTGTTGATCAGGATAGCACCCCCGACACTTCCTTTACGGAGCGAGAAACACCCAAAAGGCCGAGAAGAAATACCGGGAAATACCAGGCCTTGAGTGTGCCTAGCTGTGCCGCGTCAAGCGCCCTTGTGTCACTCCAGCGCTTATCGACTCCTTGTGATGGGCGGCACCAAACGACCAGCGGTTCTCCGGATGGGAGAAGATGGAGAAACGTAAATCCAAAGTTGCTTTCTGATATGAAAGGGATAATTCGGATAGCACGGGATGACTTGAAGGAATTGGAAGGACAGTGAGATAGCAGATAGCTCGAGAACTGAGAAGCGCAAAGGGCAATACTTGCAGTCGGTATCTAGATCCTCTGAGAGTTGCTGGAGGCGTGAGCCGGTGAGAATGTGATCACTCCATGGAGCCAATGTGCCTCCCTTCCTTTGCGTGCTATCGCGATGTTTGTGGCCGTCGATTTCGCGTGTTCCGCCTTGCGAAACATTTCTAGATCCGCTGTTTAGCTGATAGACGGTGCCAAGCCGATCGGGTCCGCCTGGCCAATAGAACGTGGGTTCAAATCTGAACCTGTCTCGAATTTGTACTAGCTTCGGTCGATCGGTCGCCGAGCAGCCCGGACCAGCAGGACCGAAAACAAGAGGCGGAGCGCCCGGGTTCTCATCTCTCACACACTCTACGTTCACACATCACAGTCCGTTACTTCTACGAGTCACGCTCATGGATGACCAGTCGCCCGATTACGAAAAGCTTTTTGTCGAAGAGCAACGCAGACGCGAAGCTGCATACTTCGTTGCACACCTTGGAAGAGTCTGGCGAAACCACCCGACGAAGGATGATGAGTTCTGAGCTAGCATACCTGTGCTCGTTCCCAACATCTACAATGATCCCCAAAGCCTCGTCGTCTGGCCAGACTTCCCGAGTTGTGTATGAGAGCACCGATACCGTTCGGAAATGGGGCGCAGTTTTCCGCCTCCGCCGCGAAACCGAAGCCATGGCATTCGTGCAGAAGCATACCTCCATACCAATCCCGGCTGTTATCGACGTACAATTCCCGACGCATGAGGCGGACGGACCAGGCTGGATCCTCATGAAGCGACTACCAGGATCCCAGGTGGGCGATTCGTGGCATACAATGAGCAAACATGCCCAAGCACAGGCACTCCGCCAGCTCAAGTCGTACTTCGACCAGTTGCGCCGTCTTCGCCCGTCTGGGCCTGGGTGGATTGGATCCTGCTCCAAGGGTCCGGCATACGACCATCGGCTGAACAACATGTCAATATGCGGGCCTTTCGCGTCAGTCAGCGCCTTCAACGACTTCCTCGTTGCTCCAGTCAAAAACTGTCCGCGGCCAGAATGGGTGGCCAAATATCGCAGCCGACTTCGCGATGATCACGGTATCACGTTCGCACACGCCGACATCTCGTGGGAGAACATCCTCGTCGACCCACCAACCGGCAACATTACGGGAATTCTCGACTGGGAGATGGCAGGATATTGGCCGGAGTGGTGGGAGTATAGGAAAGCATTGTTTGGCTCCCGGAGTCAGTCATGGTGGAGAGACATTCTGAAAGAGGTTATGCAGGAATACCCAGAAGAGACAGAAACCGACATGGAATTGGAAATGTTCTAGTATCATCAAACCCTTCGAGTGAGCCTGGCAGCGCGTTAGACGGTTTCCAGGGGGCAAGCTCGATCATGTCTCTTTCAGCCGCGGACGAGTCGACCGAGTCGAGCGAGTGTTTCTCGGCAATGTCGAGGATCTTGGGCTCGATGTTGGCAAAGGCGGTGACGTTGCGGGTGGCCAGGTTGTCGATCACGGTATCCATCGTGTCTGGCAAGGTGGCCAGGAAGAAGGAACCCTTGACTTCATCTGACTCGAAGACGGGTCTCATCGCGACAGCCACCGGCTGTGTGGACGCCAAGCACCGTTTCGCCATGCGCGTCCACCTCTGGTGGAACTCGTCCAGGTGTAGCCTGAGGTTATCGCCGTCGCGATACCTCAGATTGGTGAGCGATCGAAACAACATGATTAAGGTGTTTTGCCCGTGTCCTGATCGAGGCGATTCGCCAGGTGTTCCCATGCCTGTGGTGACGTATCACAGGATGCCACCGACATGGTCAAGTCGTTGTGAACCGATGACAGCAGCATGACCATCGCTTTGTTATCGTCCGCCTCCCACGCCGTGATGGCGGCCTCGTCGGCAGCCGGCAGCGTCGGTTTCGCCTTCTTCTTCGAGACGATAGGCCAGAGGCCTGCGTATCAGAAGGCGATTGACCAGGCTGATCGCCATTCTGGGTAGTTCTCGCCTCGTGAGGCGAGCCGCGGAAGGGAGGATGGATCAAGCTTGAAGTGGAACGTCGACATGACGGCGTTGGAAGGTACCGCCGGTGGCGATTACGACGGCGGGCGATTGGGGGGGGTTGGGGGGGGGTCAGGAAAGGACTTCTTCGTAACCCCCACGTGGGAGGAAGGTGTAGTGACGGTTGAGGACGTCCGCCGGTGCGGAAAGGTACGGCGGAGGGAGGAGGAAGGCAGGAAGGTAGGTGTCCTGCTTGTCAATGAGTTGTCCGCCGTCAAAGGGTATTGATGGCGGAGTAGTGTTGTGTAGCTGAATGGCTCAGTGATGGGTGGTGCTGGTGGTGATCCGCTGAAGTGCAGCCAAATGAGCAGCGGCGACAACAATGGTACCCAATGCTATTCGAGTGAATTACCTAAAGAGGCCCCTCTTTCGCCAGTCTCCTTCCGTAGCCACCCAAATCCCTAACCCTAGCCTAATGCTAGTGCTAACAAACAATGCCTCGCCCTAAACGCCAGTAAGTATGCCGCAGAGCTTAGACCCTCACAACCGAGCTATCGTAGCGAATGAACCCCCCCACCGCTCTCTTGAGCCTCGACCTGCGCTGGGCCAGGTTCCCGCTAATACCCTGGTCCAAATGACAGAGCAACTCGTTGACTCGTCCGGTGTCTAACTAGCTAATGTCCTCGATGCGGGAGGGAAAGTTTGGGATAACTTGTGGTTGGGCATTAGCTGCCGTCAACGAATAGAGCGGTATGAGGTCCTCAGCGACGTTGGCGGCGATAATGTGGCTGTTCTCGAGGCGCGCGTAGGTATTTAGCTGGCTATATAGGTTTCATGTCAGCCGGCACCATGTCTGCGAGGGTTCGAAAAGGTATTCTTCACGTACTGCACCTCGACACGACGAAACCCGCGCTCCATCCGCTCCTCGATGCGACCCAGTTGTTCGACAATGGCCCGTAACGTAGTCACGATCTCGTTGTCGCGTTGCAGAGTCGGCAAATTCTGGCAGTTTCGAAATTGTGCCGCCATGTTGGTGAAATTGTTGGCTGTCTCCTCGCAACCGGCTGCCATGACGGCGAACTCAGGCTGCGGACTGAGAGCAGCATTGGTCATGGTTGGTGGTGCACAGAGAGGATGAGGTGGTAAGAGTTTGATGATGGTTGAAGAATTGATGATGGTTGAAGAATTAATGATGGTTGAAGAATTAATGATCGTTGAAGAATTGATGATTGTTGAAGGATTGATGATCGTTGAAGAATTGATGATCGTTGAAGAATTGATAATGGATGAAGAATTGATGATGGAAAGCTTGGCGGCGTTGCCCGCCGACTGTGCGACCTGGTTGAGGCGAGCAAGAGCTCCGAGAAGAGAGGCGAGGACGCCAACAAGAAGGAGGAGGAAGCCAAGGCGAAGGTAAGAACCCCAGACGGGTTCTTGATCGCTTGGCAAACCCGCAGGTGTGCAGCCTTCCCTTCAGCCCCGACAATACATTTGGGAGTGACGCGCAATTCGTGCGCGAGCTCTGCGCGCGTTCACCCAGCTTCCAGATATACGGTGTCTGAGCGTCGCTTGCGACCCTCTACGCGATGTGTCTCTGTAACCCCAAAGTCTCGAGCTGCGTGTATGTGGGCTGCTTCGACGGATGGCGAATCTCTGGGCTGCGGAGGTGCGTACAATAGCGACGTATTCGATCAATTGCAACGTCTGATAGTCGATAGAATCGTGAGGGGGGTGTGCAGGACTCGGCATCGCGCGAGCATCAAGGATCGAAGGCACCTAGTCGAGTCCGAGGGCATTTGCGGAGACGCTGATTGCGATATGTCGAAGGTCTAGAGCGGGGGCATCGTACGCTCGTCGTTACGGGCGGTAAGCTTTAGAGGAGCGGAGGTTGCCTCCGCGGAGATTTTGGTGCCCAGGTGTGGCAAGATGGCTTCACGGCATCTCCCAGGCCGTCTCATACGCTTACTTCCGCATAGCGTCTTCGAGGCCTTCCCGTCGCTGTCGACCCCGCAACAGGTGTGACGCAGGGCCCCTGCCGCTTCTGGCTCTCCCCTGGCTCCGTTTCGGTGTGGCTCTCAACGCTACGACGCCCGCATTGTCAGATCTCCATTGATAAAAGCAGTGGGACCTCCGCCAATTTTTTATATCTCGATGCGGCGTTGTGGTGGAGCGTCGTCTGTAGCTGTTATCTCGCGCTCCAGAACATCCACCCTTTACTAGTTTCCTGGCCGCCCAGACCAACCAGCCGCTCAATAGCGCGAGCATCGGCAGCGTTCGCAAATTGCTCCTCGTCAATCTCTTCAACCGCCCCCTCAGGCCCAGTTCTAAAGACGGTGTGCCCACGCACGCCAACACCAGCGGCACCCAAGACAGCCTCATGCTTCTTAAACCCCTCCTTTGTAATCTCCCGCTCGAATTCCCTAACGGCATCCTCGCTGACGTCAGGCCGGGGTAAAACAATAGCACAGCCGCCGCCTCCAGCACCAGTAAGCTTTGTCCAGCCGATCTGTGCAGTGTCTGCCAGCTGCCACACGCGGTCAAGGCAGGGGTGCGAAGCGCCAAGGCTAACTAGCAGTCCGTGATTGTAGAGAAATAGCCTCCCTAAATTTCGAATAGCAGCGCGGCCCTCCTCGCTATCGTCCAAGTGGGTAGTGGCAGAGGAGAGGAACTGCAGCGCCTCTTCAGCAACTTGGCCGATTGCATCCAAGATTGGCCCAATCACCGCCTGGTTCGCTTCTTTGAGCTGCTGCACTTTCTTAACCTGTTCGGCCGTCGTGCGCGCCTGTTTAGTGTTAATGAGAAGAAGGCGTAGCGTAGGGAAGTAATCGAGAGGGGTAATAGACGAAGGCCTGTCGGCGTTTTTGCGGAAGAGCACGGCTTTTCCCCGACACGAGACCGTATTGTCAACTCCGCTCGGATCCCCGTGGATGCAGAGTTCTCCTGCGTAGGCCCAGCTGTTAATGCGCTCTAATTGCGTGTCCCAGTCGCGACGGGGTCCTTCCAGAGCGTTCCCCTGAATGAGTAGCGCAGCGCTTAGGCAGACGCAGACGCTCGCGCTGCTACCTAGGCCGGCACCGACTGGAATCGTAGACCGAAGCGTGTACACGAAGCCGCGACTTTGCGGGGAGCCCAGGGAAAGGAAAAGGTAGAGAAAGGCTGTAGCGGAACCACGGTGGACCTTTCGCTCTTTTAGTGGAAGGTCCGGGGAGATGGACTCGACAAGCGGCTGAATGGCGGCGAGCAGCGCTTTGTCGAGGGAGCCGCCGTGACATTGGTACAGCTTTCTCGCGGAGGCATAGCGGGAGGCCGTCCAAGGCAGAGAGTCGATTGCCCAAGTGTGATAGAAGGCAATGTCTTTAAAATCCAGTGTGACGGTGCGTTCGGAGTCGGAGAGGGTCTTGACGTGGAGGTAGGATCGAAGGGAAATGGCTGCGGCGATAGCAGGCTGGCCGTAGACTGCTCCATGTTCACCGAAGACGATGACTTTTCCCGGTGCGGAGACCATGAATGGAGCCGCCATTGGCGGTGAATGTGTGTTATCCATGGTCGTTGAGGAAAGGGGGCGTTGGGTTGAATAGGGGTGTTTTTTTTTTCTTGTAGGGGAAGCGATAATCCGTAGAAGTCTCGGCGACACCTGAAAATTCGCGCGCGCGCGGGGAAACCCACCCAAAATCCAGAAATCCGTGAATCGATCGATGACGCCGCGATTAATCGTCGAATAACTACCAGTAAGTCGTGAGGCTGTACAAATACGTGTATAGGGCTATACTGACGCCTTTCTTGGTGGAGTAGTCCATGTTTTGAGCTCACGGAGTCGCTCATCCTCGTCGACGACTCGATATTTATCGCTTTCTGTTACTCGGCTGGCGCCATGGCGGTATCGCAGCCCTGACGCTGTACTTGGCCGCCCGCGTAAATTATCGCCCGACGATGAGCAAGCGCTGGACGATGAGCTGTTTCAGAGCGGTTGGATGTATCAGGACGAGGTTGTATACTGGCTGTGGATGGAGAGAGGCGTTCGAGTACACCGATCCACCGTCGGTCGGCTGCTGAAGGATCGCGGCTGGAGCGAGCGCGCCCTACGGCCCATATCGATACTGCGCAACGAGGAGCTCCGTGAGGCTTATCGGAGGTGTATGAGCCAATTTATCGCCGCCGATTTGGTGTTTCTTGACGAGTCCATTTTCAATGAGAAGACTGGCTTGCGGCACAGGGCGTATGCCCCGATCAGGTTCGCCAATTGATATTCCCAGGACGTACGTGGCAAAACTTAGGCTATTCTCCCGCTTGCGGGAAGCCGGCAGATGGATGACGCGATTTCTTGACGAACGGGCCGAAGTGACGGGGCAACGGGAGCAGCGGGAGCGGGGGCAGCGCAGCGGTTAAGGCCAGTAGCGATTATTGGCAACCGCTGAGTAAGTAGGCGGAACGTTGGTAGCGAATATCAACAACCGCACGAAGTTGGGCAAAGCGTGGGAGCGTGGGCCATAGACCGGCGCCTGGAAAGCAGGCAAGTATGAACCTCTCCTTGCGTGCGCATTTGGGCCCTTTAAATGCGTGCTCATTTGGGCCCTTTTAATGCCTGGATCCTCACGCTCAAGAATGAGGCTCATTTTTGAAAAAACCGAAAACTAAATTACGTTATCGTGTACTGGGTAAGCCGTTGCAACACTGTCCTATATTCCATTTAACACCTTTACGTTTCTGTTTTTAGCTTTCGTAAACATTATTAGAGATTTTCCAGGCCTGCAGGATGAGTTTTACTCGGCCGCATCTTGTAGGTGTCGCCAGCTCCTCGCCCTCTTTTCGCCTACTACATCGCTCTTTGCATCTTTAGTTTTCCTTTACTCTATAGCTCTAAGCTAAAGGTCTTTGCTAGCCGTATCGCGAGGACTTACGGCATAGTTACTTTTACAGCATTACTACCACCGCAAACTTTAACCTGTAGCTCTATCTACTTACCGCTACTATAAAGAAGTCTAGAGATCTTAAAACGAGTACATTAGCCTAAGTTTACTAAAATAGCAACTACTAAAGGTATTTCTAGGTTTTTACTCTTTATAGATCTTTTAGATATCTAGGCTAAAGCGATAATATAAGAGAAGATAGACCTACTAACTATAGATATACTAAAGTAATACCTTAAATAGTATATATCTAGTTTAAAAGGCTAGATAGAAGAATTAATAACTCTAAACTTATCTAAAAATTACTAGTATTAGCTAGCTACCTATATTACTAGATAGATAGACTAAAAGTTTTCTAATATAGTAGATAGTAATATATTAGAAGTATATTCTTTCTAGTAAATCTCTAGCTAAGCTAACTTATCTTCTAGTTTATTTAAGGTATACTAAAAGATTAATATAATATTTAAGATAAGATAAAGAATAAAGATTAATATACTCTACTATTAAAAGCTCTATACTATTAAATAGTCTAAAAATACTAAGTCTCTACTAAATACTACTATCTTTATTATAAAGCTCTCTATAAAAACCTAATTAACTTTAGATAAATTCTAGATATAGCTTACGCTTTAGACTATTTAATAGAACTCTAAGCTAAGCTTATAATATACTATAGCTCTCTATAATATACTATAGAAAAAAGTTTATAATTAATACGCTAGAGTTACTCTATAATATAAAAAGATATCTAATTAAATAAATCTTACTATAAATAAAGAGTAGATAATAGTTAAGTATATACTAGACCTAGACGTATAAGAATTTACTCTCTAGCTTACTACTATTTAAAATATAGCTAATAAGCTACTTACTAAATAGAGAGAAAAGATTATAAGTAAGAACTAGCTAAACTACTTTATTATATACTATTCTAAGCTTAAAATATAGCTTAATTATAAGTATAACTATTAGAAAGTAAAGTAAGAAGATTCTATAATTATTTAGATATAGTTTAACCTAGTAGATAATATAAAGATAAAGTATAGTATTACTAATAAAGATATATATAATTTTAATAAATCTAGCTTTATAATAGAAATAATATTATCTTAAGTAGTAGTTACTAGCTCTAAGAGATAATTATAACTAAAGAGTTTTTAACTAGATAATTATAAGTAGATTTTAGTAATTATAATAGTAAGAGTAGTAGATAATATATAGATTCTACTATTTTTTATTATTATAAGTAAAAACTATCTCTTAGTATAGTATAAAGATAGCTAGCTACTATATAACTAGATTATAGCTATTTCTAAAAGTAGCTAGATAATAAATAAAGTTAGTATTATATAGCTAAAGTACTTTAATATATATACTAAAAGTTATATTATAGATATATATTATCTACTAATTTTAGATAGCTATAAAAGCTATAGCTCTATTATATTCTAGTAGTACTATAAAAAGAATAAAATTATAACTTTCTATATACTAGTATATTTATTATACCTTTTATAGCTACTTAATATTAGCTACTTCTTACTATTAAAGATAGTATATAGCTACTAAGTTAAAATTCTAATATATAGCTATATTAACTATATTATAAAAACTAAGTTTCTATCTATATTTTATATAGCTTTTTATATATTAATTATAAATAATAATATTAGAGTAGAATTTAGAAGCGCTAGCTTAGTTCTATTTAACCTAGATTTAGTAGTATTAAAGCTTAAAGTTTAATTATATACGCTAACACTCTCTACTACTAATACTACTATCTAGAAGTATAAAATATTTAGTAATCTTATTAAAGTAAGGTTCTAATTAACTCTAATTTAATTAAAGATTATATAGTACCTTAATTTGTTACTAACTTATATTATTAAGTTGCTTAATTAGCTTAAGAAAGGTAATAAGCTAATAGCGCATTAGCTAGTGCTTGTAGAGTCTAAAGTCGCCTAGCTTTAAGCGGCTAACGCATAGAAAAAGGAGCGTAATTCGCGCAAAAGAAAGTAGATTTAGGAAGGGGATACCCTTATAATTAAAGCTAGCTTGCAGCTAGTCGCTTAAAGGGAGGCTGCGGATCAGAATAAGGGCAAGAAGCGGCGCGAAGGGGTGGTAGCACGCGACGGCCAGCCAGCTCAGCGACGCTGTGGACGCTGCGGTGAGCCAGGGCACAACGCGCGAACGTGCTAGGTAGTTAAAGACGATACAGATGAGTTGGATAGCTTATCCAGATTTATCTCAAGCAGCTCGGAGTCAGAGCAATCTGACTGAGATGGCGGCTTTTTGGTGGGGGCTTGGCAAAAGTGGTCGGCTCGCTTGTGTGGTCGGTTCGCTTGTAAAGTACGTTAGTCTGTACTGTTTTTGGAGCGCTAGAGGATTTGGTAGCGATCCTACTCCTTCCCAGTCTGTGTGATTGAGCCGATATTGGCTAACTCGAGATTTAATTGTTTTTGCATGGGTCAGCGGCTTGGAGTATCGACGAAGCATAGCGGCCCTATAAATGCTCAAGCTGGTCTCTGCTGTATTCTCCAGCCTAGGACAAAGCATAATGCATTCTTAGTTTAGACGTTGTGGCTATGTCGGCGGGTGGTTGGCTTTGAGATGTCGAAAGGGACGTTTGCGTAGGTTCGTCCTGGCCAAATTGGCCCGCTAAACTTGATATTTCCTTGAATCCCGGCAGTCGTTTCTCGCGCTTGTCCTCCGTCCCTGATTCTGTCGCAGCTTTCTTCTTCGTTACGCGGCAGGGTACGGAGGATTCGCCACCAGGCAATTCCCACATACTCAGACCTTCCGCGATTGGCCTTTCCTTCCATCCATGACCAGTGAGTTTCGGCTGGCTATCTTCTTCGGACGCCCTGGACTGTGTAGTCCCATGGTTGTCTCGCGGACGGGTGGAGCAGAGACAAAATCCACCACGGATGTTAGAAGACTGGTTCTACTGCAGGAGTTTATGGCTAGGTAGCGTTAGTAGATAACAATTAATGAGATTTACAAGGCACTCACCTTTAACAACATCATCTGCACTTGCGAACCTGCCTTGCCAGCACCCTCTAATAACGTCGCCTATTGGTCCTAGACTTTTCGTCTCAGGAAACTCTGATCGTTTGAACGAGTTGGTGATTTCTGGGTCCCAAGATTCGAGCTGGTGGAATGGGGGTTTGCCGGTCCATATTTCGTATAAAGTGGAGCCAAGTGCAAAGATATCGACCTGAGGTGATTTGTTGTCATCTCCAGGCCACATGTGGCTGTTCGTCGCCGCAATAAGCGGCTCAGAGCCATCTAATGAAGAACCACCAAAGTCGAGAAGCTTCGCGTTCTGGTTGTCGTCCAAAGAAATGTTGTGACACGTAAGATCCCCATGAATAACATTCATCGAATGAACAAAGGCAAGCGCACTAGTAATTTGTTGGCTCCATCGAAGTCGGTCCTTAGCATCAATCTTATGATGGATTTCGAAGTATGCGCGAAGACTACCCAGGCTCGCATATTCTAGCTGGATGCCAATTTCGAACGGACCATAATAGAGCAGAAGACCTTCATGTCCGCCGTGTTGCTGGAATCGCTCGTAGATCCGTCTCTCAACATCGATGGCGCGCTCAGTTCCTTCATGAGGAAATTTTATGACAGTACCGGAGGTCTTTTGTAGGTACGCTATGCCGGTAAGCCCAAAGCCGAGGCAGTTTAACATATTTAAACCAGTTGGGAATCTGATTTGCGACATCTCTTAATTGCGTGGTAGATAAGGGCGGTATTCGTCGGTAGAGTATAATTCTTCTTTAGAAGATCCGAGGAGGGATATCATCGCCAAAACCGCGTTTGGGAATATAGTTGCAGCGGAGAATTGGCTCGAGGGAGGCAAGTTGGCCCGTGACACGGCGAGGCGGGGCTGCTCAAAAGGCTGGACGGCAGCGAGCTTAAAGATAGGACGGACGTGGCTAGGAGAAAGTGTGGTTCTATTCGATGTTGGTCGCGTGAGGAGTCGCAGGTCGAACGTGCTTCTAGGTGCTCGGCGGCGGCGGCGGTGGCAGCAGCGGGCTTGAGTCGGCGACTGAATCTCACCTCCTAAGAGATGAACGTACACCGTCAGTCGTACAATAGCGGGGCGCGAAGAGACCTCAGAAGACGGGAGGTCACGGACGGCGGGAGGTTGTGCCTCAAGATCTGTCACGGCTGCCGCTGGACGCCGCCCCGATCTTTCTAAGCTTCAGCCGGGTATGTAGTACTCTCTGACCGCGGCGTAACAGGGAATAGGAAACGGTTGGATGTTCGACGAAGGCAACGTAGTAATTCGCGTCGGCGACGATGTGGTACACGGCGGCGGACTCGAGGATGGGATGGCCGCAACGAGGTGGACGAAGAGGGTGTGAATACGGTCTATTGCATGCTACGTATTGCGCAACGCAACGCGCTCGGTCGCGGGCTGGTATCGGATGGAAGAGTCCTCTACGGCGGCTCTGCTCGCTTTGCTGAGTTGGACTTGCTTGGCGCTGCGCCACAAGCCTGCCGTCGCGCCGGAACAACCTTTCCTATAGTTTTCCGACGAGGGCTACAACCACCACTTCCTCTGCCACCGTGACTAGCCTACTCCAGGCCGGAAACCCCGCAACGCTCATTCGCAAGCCACGGTGCGACAATCGCCCATTCCACAACTACTGCCTTCACGGCCAGTAGGGTCACCCATACCGCTGTTATGAGCAGCACCTCCGCAACTGATGTGTCCGCAGGCAACACGTCTTCGGCGACCGGAGGGATTCAAGCGAATACATCGAAAAGACGTTCGAAGCGCGCTACGTTACGGCCTTCGACACGTGCAGCTTGCCAGCCTCCTCCATCGAAGAAGCCACGAGGACCCGACGATAATAATAACGAGAACATTGGGGGCGGAGGGAGGAGCCTGAACAGGACGGCTGGTAGGGGATAGAAGATGGTGCGTTGAAGTTACTACGAGTACATCTGGTGCTATCGTGGCCTTCGCGGCGGCAAGTATACAATAGCTTACTGCAATTACATGACTCCGTTCTGAGCGCTGACGCCTCGCAGGTCATCGACAATCATCTTCTTGTTATCCTCACATGCTGGTTATCACAGTAACAAGTGGTTTCGGTCGTATATGGACATGCATTCGGCGTTCTGGGAGCTGGTGGTAGTCTCGGAAGGCAGGGACTGGAGAAGGGACGGATTAGAGTCATTTTCGGGGACTGTGGGAGAGTTTGCGCTGCAGGGTCACGAGCAAGGACGCGAGACGGAGGGAAGCACTTATCTGCCTTCTCTAGGGCTTATTCAACCACTTCGGATGGCATAGTCCTGCGCCTCAATTCTTTCCATCCAGACTGACCTATAGGGATTTCCAATGTCTATGCCCTTATCCGATATAATGTCTGTTAGCTGCTCTTAAAGCTCGAAGGCGTCATATGGAAGCCCGATAGGATCATCTCATAAAGCCCCCCATCAAGAATAATCAAACTACCACCATTCTACATCTTCTCGTCGCGGCCAGCTTTGCCTCATAAGCTTCTGAGTACGTTACGTGAGAGAACAGAAGTGGAAGCTATCCATTGTCTCCCCCTTGGTCCTTGTTTTCGCGATGTGGCCCCCCACTGGGGAATAGAATGGATGGAAGTCGGCGAGTAATAGTGGTGCTGTTGGCGGATTTGCTATCGATCGTTTGGTAGCATATCGACTATAAATTGCGCGCTGGCGAGCTAGTTCGACGTACATTCACTCACTCAGGTACAGGGTTAATCAATTAACGCGGCTACGTCGACCGCGCAGGAAGCGAAGAAACGAAGAAATGGACGATTGAGGTGAATACGTTAGTTGCCCAGAAAAGGAACGAAGATATGGAATGGACGGAGCTTTTCCTGAATTGAAGGCATTTTATCATAACGCCGCCATGGACCTACGCCTCTACCATACGTCGTGCGATCTCATTCCCAATATATACCATTAGTCTAGCTATCAGTCGCACATCTATTAGCCGTCTGTGCCACATATTCGTTCGCTGCTGGGTTTTCGTAGTCGAACGGCAGAAAGCAGCTGCGTTTTGCCAGAGCCGTGCTTCTTGGGGACTGTGCTGGCAGAGTTGAGATACCTTCGCTACTCGAACGCTTTCGTCTTCGATAGAAGGGTCTCGAACGTGCCAGTGATTCCGTAATTAGCACCAATAGCATCACGTGGATGATATGATCTATTACTCTGGAGACTGGCATATGTCTGGCGGTGGGTAAGCGCTTAGCGGTAGGAATGGAACTTGCAGATAGCGTCTCAAATAATGGAGGAAGTAGGGAGAGGACAGATGAGGAGCAGGGAGCATGGGAACACGGATGTGCAGATGATGGATCTACGTCTTCTGATAGTCGTTCATAGGGCAGTAGGATCGAATAGAGAAAGGGGCCGAGCGAAGAGCATGGACGCAAGTTCCCGTCATTCTTCGGAGACGCGCATCGAAAGTTATGGAGTTAGAAAAGGGCAGAAGGTTCCCAGCGGGAAGCATTCACCCACTCGCGGTCAGGCCTAGGAGCTGAACTTCCTTGGGAACTCCAATAGAGGATCGGAGATGGAAGTCTTCCTACTATATCAACACACCTCTCGCCTCGATCTACTTGCTCCCACCAACCCGCCACACCCTTCTTCGATCTCTACCACGCTCCTAGCGTCTTCGACTTCCCTTCTGCTCTATGGTCTCTCATTATCTGCTCATCATGCGAGAGTAGGAGCCCGTTCCGTTCCCGTCCTTTGAAGTTCGGCGTGTTCCGTGGCGTTGGAAGCTCATCACTGAGTGTATGCTTCCTCGTTCCGCTTCAACGTCGGAGAAGTGCGACCTTGAAGTCCTTCATATATTCCTCCCGGATATTCGCGGAGGCGACCGTGAAGCGCCGTCAATCTGCTGGCGACATGGCTATGGAAGCCGTGGACGGCTCTCGCTCCGACTCCAAGTACCTCGAGATCCTTCCATTTGCCTCCCCCTCTTCAGCCTCCTACACCGTTACCAGGATCGCCATTTCGGACATCGCCCATCAATCGCCGTCCCCAAGGGCACCACTCAGCCTCTCCGCTGTCTGTAGATCCATAGCGCCTTCATCGACACGTCTTCGTTCTCGATGGCTATCAGGAATAACTTGAATTGAAGGTAGATAACTGCGCATATTTAATACCAATTAAAAAGCCCCGAACAACGTACGAAGGATGATCGAACGCTAAAGGTCGCCGCCAAAACATAAGTAGAGAGCAGCATGAACCGAGCGGAGACAGCGATCGAGATGGGAGATCAATCAGTCAAAGACAGAAGACGTGGGGCAGCGGATGGAACTCAAGGTAACGCAAGTGACGATAGTGTGGTGCATGAGGGACAATCAACTGCCGAAGGATCTCACTAGGACATGAGTAGAGAGCAGGGTGGGCTGAGCGGAGACAGCGATCGAGATGGGACTGCAATCGAGACGGGAGATTGATTAGTCGAAGGCGGAAAACAGGAGGAGGCGGGAGCCGCAGCGGGTTGATTGACCATAGCGTAGTGACCACGATCAACACGGAAGAATGATTAGTCGAAGACGGAAGATGAGGGGAAGCAGAAGTCGAGGCAGCACGATTGACCGCCGAATGTCACCATTGGGACATGTGTGGAGAGCAGGGTGGGGTCAGTAGAGATAGCTATCGAGGTCAGAGATCCACGGTCGAAAGGGGATTATGGGGGAAAACAGGAGCTGCGGCGGCTCGATTGACTACAGCTTGATGTAGGAACAAGTAGGTGAGAGCAGGGAAAGAAATACTGCTTGTGTCGTCACCATTAGCGAAGTGACGAGCTGAGTGTGTGGTTAACATGCATTTACTGACACCCTACGACGGCTTGGATTATCTTCGGCTGGTCGCTGTGGACTAGAACTAGAGCTGCGAGTTGACACATACAGCGAGAGATATCTAGATTGCTGCCATTGGCGAAGTAACCAGCTAGCGGTGTGGCCGAAATGCATTTACTAACACCCTGCCAGAACATCTTCAGGTAATCGCCATGATCCAGAACAAGCTCTTCGAGTCGACACACGGCGGAATATCAACGGCGCCGCCATTCGCAAAGCAACTTGCTAGCCGCGTAGTCGACAGGCGTTCACTGACGCCCTGCAAAGGCTCAGATCATCTTCAGATGGCCACCATGGCCCGAAACGAGTGCTTCGAATCGACGCACATGGTAAGATGTCTAGACTGGACGCATATTAGCTCGGTTGATGTTGAAGGCTCTGTTCGTAGATCTTCAAGGCGTCGAAAGAAAGAATCGTACAGCAGTCTTGAATCGTAACCTCTAAAGAAGAGCCTAGATCCCTTCAGATAAACCCTTGGCTTTAGAACCCGCTAGTTGACAGACAAATCCCCAGCATGAGACCTCTCGTTAATCCCAGCACCATCATGCAGCCGCCGCCGAAGAGCCCGAACACCACCTTAAACCGAAAACTCGGCCTTATCCTAAGCTTGCGCACTTCCCAACCAGCCTCGACAACCACACCCAGTTGACGAGACACCTTGAACGAAATCCCTAGCGGACATTCAACTCGGTGAATCTCCCACCAGACTAGTCTCAGATTCCTAATCCCAGCTCTAAAGAAGAAATCAGTACAAATACTCTGGTACAGCAGCTCTCAGCCCAGAGAATCTCCCACCAGCCTTGACATCCTTGGTGACTGACTCACAGCATCGTGGGCGGCACTACCCCTGTACCTGCGAAGTGAAGGCCACCACCGACAGATCGTATAACACCCATGGGGAGGAGCCATGAGTTGATTAGGAAGCCATGGGCCAGACGAGGAGCTGCATTTCAGGGCCTGATGAGGAAGATGTAGCCAACGTCGACACAAATGGGGCTGTAGACAGTTAGAAACCTTATGTCTATATTCCAGATGTTGCTACTCCTATAGCGTACAGGACGTAAATCACGCCACCCAGATGAATGTGAAGATGTTCATCTAACCTCCACTACGGACAATGGGAGCATGGACGAGAAGGAGGCATTGAAGAGCATAGGCAATGGCAGTTGGTACTCATCGCCAGCAAAGCTGTAGTCCAGCCCAATGGGCAGATATGGATAATGGGGGAAGGTCATGGATTTTCTCCATGGGGGCATGGCATGGATTTCGTCCATGGTCTCGGTTTACCCGCTCCGTCTGCTCAAATATTCCCAGTGAAGCTGTACTCAAGCCGAATGCGCGGGCATGGATGACGGAGGAAGGGTAGGGATGAACGGAGAAAGGTCATGGATTCCGCCCATGGAGGCATGGGTTTCCTCCATGGCCTCATCTGCTCAAGCATCACCGCTCTTCCCACCCCTGTGGGGGTATTATTCCAACGCCTCGCGTGCGTCCCCCTCTCATTCGACTTCTTCCACATCTTCATCCCTGTTATGATGATATGTTTCCCATGAAAGCCACAGCCACTGACTCAAGGTGCCCTTAACCCAGCAAGAAAGCTCGTCGAATTTGCCATGCTCCGCTTCGGCATCTCGATCTCTCCCTCCGTAAAAAGCATCGTTAAACGAACGCGCTTGGATCCGTCCTCTGCTCCCTGATCTGCCGTGCGCTTACCAGTGACAGATATAATGCCTGACATGGGTGCTGTTTCCGTTAGGATGACGGCGGAGGGGGGCTCATGAGTAGGAGAAACGGCTAGTCAGCAGCGTTAGTAATAAGAGATGTGATGTGGTGGGCGGAAGGGGAATTCGTGAAGACCTTCTGGCAGGCTGGGGCAGAAGCGGATGGGAGCCGAGAAGCGGGAAGGTATCCTGTAGTCAACGAAGGTCGGCACCACAGCGATCTCGTTCGTCGTAGCAGGTGCTCGCTCAACCGAAAACTTTCGAGCAAGCTGGAATTACCTATGTAGCCTATGCTATGCTTGCTGTCCCGACCTCACCCTATGCCTTCTTTGACAGAACTGGCGAGAGCTGTTGCTGCACTGCTGAAACTATAGCCCGGGCAGCCTCCACCTTTGCCTCTTTCTCCGCCAGGTCTTGACTTGCAGCAGCGAGCTGCTCTATGAGATCATTCACAGTACGAAGCTCTCCCTCATCTCGTGGTAGCCCAGGCATAAGCTGGGAGAAATCTATGCCGTTGACATATTCCTCACCAAGCTGTTGTTGTGCTAACTTCCAATGTTGCTCGTGGTGGTTGATTATAGCACGGGCAGAGCTGATGCGTTTCTCGATTACCTCCTTGGTCTGGGCCAGTGCGGTGGACAGCTCAGGACTGGCGAGTTCAGCACCATCACTGAAGGATCGAAGAAATGCGAAGGCACTTTCTTGGGTTTGTGCGAACTTTTTGCGAGCTTCCTCGGCAGCGTTCCCGGCAGCTGTGAGCTTATCACGGCGGCGTAATAGCAAGGCGTTGGCCTTCGCGAAGACGGTCTCCAGCTGTGTCTTTAGGTCCTTCTCCTCCTGCGAGAAGTTCTCCATGGCGAAAGGTGGATATGTTTGGCGACCAATGGCTGGCGTCGATGCGAATCCCTGGAGCTGGTTGGAGAAAGGTATCTGATTTGACTATTCTCTAGTCTCTTGCTGGGGCGCTGAGGGAGACTGATGCACGATGGGAAGGACAGAAGAAGGCGGAAGAGGCGTGGGAGCCTGCTTCGGTGTGCAGGGGGTGATGTTGTTTATGACGACGTCGGGGTTGTAGAGCGTGTGGCCGTGCTGCTGCTGCGGAGTCACTGGCCGTGGAGTCGCTGGCCGTGGAGTTGCTGGCCGTGGAGTTGCTTGCCGTGGAGTCTCTGACTGTGGAGTCTCCCGCCGTGGAGTGTCTTCCTGCAAAGCGCCGTATGGCTTGGTGTTCTCGAGGCCTCCGATATCTTCGTCCTGCTGGATTTGGGCGCCTTCCTCGTCCTCGTGGTTGAAGTACCTGGTTTGATTGCTGGTAGAACGGCGATCTCGGTCTCGGATCGGGGAAGAGGCTTGATGTGTGAGCAAGGAGTCGTCGTACCGCGCGGGCGACGGTTCTTCAGGCTGGGATTCGGCATCAGGTGATCCTCGTGCGCCCTCGGGGGACAAGGACGAGAGGCGAGGACGCTTGTTGAAAAGCCGTAGCTTCAACTCAGTCGTGGTCGTTCCCGTTCAGGCGAATGGCGCCGGCGGCGTTTGCCCACGCGCTTCGACCGCGAGTTCGAGGAGTCCTGGATGTCTTCCTCAGTCTCCGTCTCGGGCGTCTTCTCCGTATCCTGCAAGTCTCTCGCCTCTTCTGCTTCTTCCTCCTCTTCGTCGTCGTCGTCGTCGTCGTCGTCGTCGTCGTCGTCGTCGTCCTTTTCAGGATCCGACAGCTCCTCCTTGGGGTGGCGTTTCACCTGCTTACGATCAGTGTCGCTATGCTCCGATTCTGAAGACTCGGTGCGCTGGGCTTTCGCGTCAAGTCGATCGAGGATAGAGGCCAAGGCGCCGACCAGCACTACATCACCCTGGCTATTGTGAAGGGATTAGCTTGTGAACGTGGTCGTATGTGTATTGCGGCTTACGTACACCTCGTTCAAGACCTTGGAGGCCTCGCGGGCGAAGGAAGGCAGGGGGAAGCGACGGCGATGGCGGCGAGGCTCTCGGCGTAGTTGACGGAGGGCTTGAGAAGGACGGGCGCGCCGCGACGGCCGAGCTGCGTGCAGAAATCGGCGCACCACGCCGAGTGGATGCGGCCGATGGCGTTAATGAGGCGAGCGGAGACCTGGCGACCGAGCTCGCGCTGATGCGGGCGACAGACACGCGGGGCTTGATGCTTGGCGGCTAACTCGCTGTAGCTGCAGCCGAAGAGTGTCGAATGAAGGCCGTGCCAGCATACGGAAGCCCCAGAAAGTCTCGAGGTCTGCGGCCGAGTCGGAAGTGGACATGCACTCTCGTTTGATGGCCGAGAACTGCTTCTTTCGAGCGGAGCGGGTGCCTGTGCGCCTATCTTTGAGATCGCAAACGCGCTGGGGTATGGAGTGCGCAGTCATGGAGCCGGCGACCGCACAGATTGGACGCGCCCGTCGGGTCCACCAAAGGCGTTGAGTAAGAGAAAAACAAGGCCGCTATGCATCACCCTCACCTTGGTGAGTGCAGCAGCGGCGGCGTTGCCAAAGCGAGACCATGGACGGAAGACGTGAAGACGCGACGTTGCTATGCCAAGCACCATGCCAAGGAAAGGTTGACTAAGCGAGGAAAATCTCAACTCCGAACCCGACGTCGCGATCAAATCACACCTACAGCGATGCCGGCTCGCTCACATCTGCGAGGCCAGTTGAACGACTTATTTTCTCGTCCCCGTGTCTCTCGATCACCCGCAATCAATTGCCAGCAGCTGACGAGCTGCCCCGCTCCCCAAGCTGCTTCACGCCGTTCATGGAAATCGTCCATGGCTGATAAACGACTCCGCACAAGACGCGATTGCAACACCAACGGTACGTGCCCGTGCTGCTCTATCCAAAGCATCTCGGCTGACAGTTTATCTTGTCTTCCAGGATTCCTCTCGCCGACACCAGGCATGTTCGACGCTCGGATTACGTGACAATAGTCCTCGCGTATCAGCCTCCCTCGCCCTCAACCTGCATCGACCTCGAATGAACATCTCTTACGGCGGATTGATCGCTGCGCGATAGCGGATTGCGCACAAATTCTTACAACATTGCTGTGGTGAGTTGCTCTTGCATGAGTGGAGATGGTCTGCCGCCTCCAAGCGGAGGGTGTCGCTGACTCACCCCAGCGACGTTTTTCCCTTCGGCTGGTGCAATATGCTCGCTGCACAATCGTTCTGGAGTGTCGGTCTTCCCGTCGGCCTCGGCGACATCTAACGGTACGCGCTTCACCTATCTCGCCAACGCACACTAACATTCTCCCAGCAAAGCCTCCCCGCCTCGCGTACCTTGCTCGACCGTCTCCTCGATCGATTCCCCCTCCGCCCCGTATTGCAAACTGTCGAAACAACCGCTCCGCATCTCCTCCGTACCCCGTCGCGCAGCCGAGCATCTATTATCCTCCCAGCTACGACGACGGCTTCGCCGAGCACCTCATACAACCGCACCGAAGCTCCTCCATACCCTGCGGCGCGGCGCAGCATTCCATACCCCACAAGCCACGATGACAGCTTCGCCGAGCATTACATAACGCGCCTGCCTTCACGAACGCCTATACATACTTCCATGGGCACACAACGAGCTGGAAGTCCACCCCGACGACCCATTCGACGCCGCAGAATACCCCAGACAGCTTCGTGCCCGATCTCGTATGCGTCCTTCGAGGCCCACCAGAAGCATTCCCTGAGTCACTCGCCATCGCTTGCCACGTTCGATCTGGCCCTTCGCGACCGACGTCTCCGCAGCTGTCCACGCACCGTGGAGGCGTTCCACATCCGATAACTGTTCGATGCTCGCCGTTGCTGTCGCCGAGGAACAACGTCGTCGGGCCCGGCACGCGCAGGCCAAAGGGTCCTGTCGTCACACCCCTTTGGAGGGCTGGAGTATTACTGTTTGGAGAGCTGGGTTTCAGTGCATCCTCATACCGCGGCGAGTTGGGCCTGTTGCCATCTGTCTAGGAGAGGCTGGGGAATCACTGTTCATGGCTTCGATGTATATAGGATATCAACCCGCGCGGGGCATACGTGGCCTGGCGTCTTCGCCACGTCTGCCCCTTCGCCCGCCTGGAAAGCTGAAGTATCTTCACAAAATGTGCATAGAAGCTTCTTCAATCTGATGTGAATCTCGATCGATTCATCCATCCGCGCAGGGGCATACAGCATGGGCCAGCATCTCGCGCCACGCGGCGCCGCGCCGCCCGCCTGCCCATCTGTCCGCCTGTAGAGCTGAAGTATCTTCACAAGATGTTCATAGAAGCTTCTTCTTCATGTGACTCTTCGATCGATCGATCGATCCGCGCAGGGGCATATGGCATGGTATGGCAGCTCATGGCGGCGAAGGCGGAATGAAGTTGATCACTATTTAATCTTGATATAACTACGAATGAACGAACGACGACGCCGACATTGGTGATGGGTAGAAATCTCCCTCGGTCGCTGAGCTTGCTCGCTCGCCGTGGGGGTGGGAGCGAAGGGGCTCTCACGGCGGAAGACATGCGGCGCGCGAGCTATTCATCCATCTATGACTGGTCCTGCCTCCTGCTGCCATTTCGCTCCCGCCTTGGCCACCATGTATCTGATCCAATCTGCAGCACGAGTTCTAGCCAACGATATCGGGGCTGGGCATGCGGCGACTGGCTGCGTGTCAGAGACGCGGGTATTCGGAACGGACGACGAGCTCGATGCGCGTCGCAATCTCGGGAGTGGGCAGTCGTTTGGCAGATGGGTCGGGGCTATGGAGTCAAGGCCTGACGCACGGCATTCTGGGTCTGCGCGGTGTTGACGAGCGAGGATGTACGTGGCCTGAGTGCCTGGAGCGCCGGTGGTGGTGGAGTCCCGATGGAGGGCTCGACGGCTATGTTGGGTGAGCTTGCGTGTTATAGGTCGGAGGGGCTGGGCGGAGTCTATGGACGATCTCCATGAGCTCATGGGCGCTCTCACGATGCGGGGAGTCCATGAGTCCAGCCAGCCAGGGAATGGTAGAAAGAAAACGTGGGGCAATTATTCGTGCCCTGAGGTGCATGCATGGACGAGACGGCTTTTATCCATCATCGCAGTCCCATTCATGGCTCGCTGTCCCATTCATGGCTCGCTGTCGCGCAAAGGGTGAGGTCGTTCGGGGCTGCTGAGCTGGTGGTGCAACTGAAAGAAGATTAGCGTAGGCGCTAGCCTGCTTGGGCATTGCCGAGGTGCAGCCGACCAGCTTCCGTCGACACCCTCACCTCCAGACAGCTCGTCGAGTCCCCGCGCGAACTCGGACCTGAACCGAACAGCCTCACAAAATCTTTGACCACCCCAGAGAGCCCACAGTGGGTGATACGGCTCAGGCGAAGTACGATGTCCTCGAAAAGAGCTGCACCTGGCTTACACCCGATCGACCACGGGGACGGAACTCTCACAGCTCTTTAGTTTTTCGATGTAATAAAAAACGTTTGTCAGCAGGCCAAGCCAATCCTGTGGCTAGTAAGAACGCCCGCATGACACGTCAGCGCCCGCAGCGCCCGTCTCTTCAGCCTGCGTCCCTTAGTTACAGTGTTGCTCAGCAAAGTCTTTCTTGATTCTAATCTACTCAAATCTACTCAAATCAATATGTGCGATATCCAGGTTACAACGTTTGCCAGCTGTCGCCGCAACCCTCAACACCAAGTAAGGGGTGACTATCTGCGATGTGCAGCAGCGCAAGCCCGCCCGAACCAAGACCTTTGTGTGCCTCCAAGTGGACGGCTAAGGGACTTGCCACTGTCCCTTGATGTTCAAGATACAAACGTACCCGGAGAGTGTCCTCCGTGCAATGCACGAACGCCATCCAATTCCTCAGATTGAGATCGGTTGGTGCCCCATTTGATCCTTTCGCAGCGCTCGCGGGCATATTGGCATGCAGTACTATTAAGCTTTTCGAATTCACTAACTCATTATTTAGTTCGAACTTCTGCGAGAGACAGGGAGGGCTACATACAATTCGACTTTCTTTTTTACTTTGAAGACTTCGTATGGTATCTTACTGTTGTCGATCCTTGGGTATGATTTACAGTAGATATCAAGAACGATATGCATCTTGGAAGATTCGTTGGGGGCCATCAAGTGAGAGTAGAAATCGTTCTTCGGAGGTTCAGGGCCGAATAGGGCGAAAAATCGTTTATTTATAGCTGCTTCCTCCAGCTCGTGTCGAACGTCAAAACGGAGAACGACTCGCTTTGGGCCATTATTGGATTCCATCTTGACGGTGTGGCTTCGTCTATAGCTAGTTGTAGACGCAGTATGGATCCGGTAGCGCGCTGTGCGAAGGACGGTGGTAGGTTCGACGATAGTGTAGAAGGCGTCGGCGGGTTGACGAACGATTAATTCGGGTTTTGAAGATGTACGATTAGGAATTAGAGGTCGGCTGGCCGTTAGAGACGCTCTACATTGACGGCGGTGGCCGGCGTCGGTATGCTGTAGGCTGATAGCTGCAAGGAGTCAGCGACATCGCTGCAAGAGGCAAACGATACTTCACCTTGGAGGATGACCTACATCGTCACTGGATGAGACTACCTGATGTTGGTTGTGAAATTGGTCGCTGCAGCGATGTTCGCCGCGGCACGGTCGCTAGGTCAACCCAAAACGCGGCTTGGCACCCAAGCGAGAGCGACGCGCTGCGGACCAATATATTATCACTAGTGAGGCATCGGCCGCATGTACTACTTAATATCACTACTAACGGCTTTCAGAACAACCCCTGCATTCTCGTCTGGACGGCGTGAGCGAAGTTGAGAAGAGATACCCTCGCATTTCCGCTGATAACGTTCCCTCCGAAACACTAGTCCACCGTCCCCCGTCGTTTCGCCTCGCCATACCCGGACCTTATCAAGGTGGACAGGCTACACTCTCTAGCGCAACACAGCCCGTAGTTGCAATTCGATGAGGAGCTGGCTCTGCAGCTCGGAATCTTAAATGTGGTGGCCTCCATACAATTTGAAGGGGGTGGGTTCTTGATGGCATCGCAGTCTAGACGTGGGAAACGTCGTTTCTAGCGGGCTACTGCTGACAGCGGATGCCGGGGATGTGAGATGTCTGGAGGCTTGGCCCTGGAGAGGCGGCCTCCACGTGACGAGTGCGGCTGGTGGGCTGCGTGTCACGCTTCTCCGAACAACCGAGCAGTTCCGCGCAGCATCGTCGCCACTGTTCTTCCAGCTCTTCTGGCCGCCCTCCGGCGCAGTATGTATCCAATGGCGGCGTCTGACAGCCGCGCGCCAGAACCCGCGACGTCTCAACGCTGGATCTCACATGAAGCCACCCCATTGCACACTGCGCAACACCTTCGACAGCGCCATCTCCATCACATCGCCACCGCCATCCAATCATGGCGAGCGACGAACCTTCCTCGCAGCAGGCGCCCGCTAGCCAGAAGCCCCACCTGCCGTTCCTGAATGGCAAGTCGGCCATGTCGTACGCGCTACACGGCCTCTCCGACCAACGGCCCCGCATGGGCAGCGAAGACTCGTGGATGCTACTGCTACTCCTGCTCCTGCTGCTCCCCTACTAGGCCTACGCGGCCTGCGCTGCTTTCTAGCGGCAGCTTCCCTTCCTAGCTGCCCTAAGCTGCTTGCAAAGCTGGTCCAGCGAGCACCTCTGCTGCTGCTGCCGCTGGCTCAGCTGCCACACGGCAGCGTCCTCGCTCGTCCTGCGCGCCTGAGCTATCCGTCGGATCTCCTTGATGACCTCAAGCCGCAACGAGTACCACTGCTGCTCGCTGTGCCGGCCAGCCCTCCACAGTGCCCCTCATTGCCGATCTAGGTCAGTGATGGAAGGCTGGCCTTGCAGGCCTACTGTCCACTCGCGCCAGAGGGCGTCTACCGTCCGTGCTGCACGGCACATGCGGTGCCTTGGTGCTGGCTCTAGCGCTAGGTCTAGCGCTGGCGCCGCTGGTGCTGCTGGTAAGGGGCACAGGCGAGGTGAGTCTGGAGAGGGCGTGGGCGCGATGCTGGCTTGAGCGGACGTGTACTTGCTGGAGACTCCGTCTGCTGATAGCGACGGCGGCGGCGGAAGGCAGGAGGTTGCCAGGCATCTAAGACGCCTCTACGGAACACAAGGTTGCCAGACGTTAGGGTCTGTAGCTGTAGAGACTGCGTGCTCTGCAGCGCGAGCAGCTGGCTGATAGACTGCTTAAGCTCTTCTACGCGCTGCTCGTTGCGAGCCTCTAGCGCCTGCAGCTGGTCGGCGAGCAGAGGGATGGCTTGATACAGGACTGACAGGCGACTAGGCGCTGCCTCTGGGTCGAGTGATGCGTCGACATCCTGCGCGAAGGCTGCGTACGCTGGATGCTGGAAGGCAGGGTGGTCCCACACAGGGTGGCTGGGGAATTGACGCCGCATGGCTACTGAGTCCTGGAGGATCACCTCTCTGAGGTAGAGGAGTGAGGCCCGCAGCGGCAAGGTCGTTAACCTGCCCTGTGCTGAAATATTTCCGTCATGTTTCATGGACAGAGTTAAAATTCTTGGAACACTTAGAGAGAAGCAGAAAACGATCTGAGGACGGCAAATGCACGCCTTACATAAACGCATGATAATCCTTAGCGACGCCTTTTGCAATTCAAATGTCGTCCTTGCACATGCAGACGATATCTGCTTCAACGATTCCGGAGACGGCTGGAGGATGCCGCCAAGTGACAAGTCGAAGATGTAATCGTACTCGACCCTTGAGGCTGGGCAAAGTTGTCAAGCGTCAGCGGTGCAAGGACTGATGACTTATTGCTGCCAAGCACCGAGATCTGACTGTCTGTTGGAGCTTTAGAGGCTCGGCACGGAGGGCAATGACCAAGGTGAATACTGCAGGAGGCTCTGGGGAGGTTGCAGAATGCGCGGGCGGCGCCGCATCGTGTGGGTGTGCAGGGATTAATGACTCAGCGCTGCCAAGCGCCCCTAGTCCCGATTTTTCTGTTCCCCGCCTCTAACTCTCGAGCGGGCGCTTACCACTCACGACGCACAAAATATGCGCCTCTACCTCAAGTTCGTCGTAAACAGTTATACCTCCTGGAGAGGAATTAGAACCTTAAAGTCGAAAACAGAGGCGGACACTTAAGATCGCACCGTCGACTAATGCTTCTTAACCGCCTGTTAAACAATAGAAACGTTCGCAACGTAGTAGAACACCTTCTAAGTTCTAGAATAATCTCTCTTAAGTACTACTCTATTATTACGTACTTTAAGAGTTTAACTAAAGAATAGTTTAGCCTATTACATCTAAGCTACTAGTATAGTCTATTCTAAAAAAAGATCTAGTTAAATAGCTTAAGCGCTTTATCTACTATAATAGTCTAAACCTTTATAATATTAGAGAAGTAGATTATATTTATACTATAAAGAATTCTACTAATTTATTTCTTAGTACCTAGCGCTAAAAATAGAAGCCGTCTATATAATAAGTTTAAGCTAATCTTATTTAAGCTATTTTTAAATTAGAACTAGAACTAACTATTCTAGTATACTAAGCTAAAGTACGTAGAAGATAACTTTATTATTAAGAGATTTTATCTTTAAGCAGGCACTTATTAATATAGAATATTATCTATATAATTAAGGTCTAAAATAAAATAATTTTAAGAAAGTAAAAGAATAGCTTACTTAGCTAAAGTCTTCTCTATTACCTTTCTAGTTCTCTAATAGAGCTTTTAAAGACTTTTAATTAAAGAATAATAAGGCTAAAACTAAAGTAGTTATAAGAAGTAAGGTCTTTCTAATTATTAAAGGTAATACTACTATACTATTAGGCTAGAATAAAGTCTTTAACTATATCTAGCTGCTAGCTAGTAGTATTTTAAACGTAAAGCTAGACTACTACTATAGCTTTTACTTTATAGAACTTAACCTATATATATAAAAGAATCTTACGCTATATATTATTCTATAATATACTTTATAAATAAATACTTTATATAAATAAATACTCTAAAAATACTAAGCCTTTACTAAATACTACTATCTCTATTATAAAGCTCTCTATAAACGTCTAATTAACTTTAGATAAATTCTAAATATAGCTTACGCTCTAGACTATTTAATAGAATCTAGAGCTAAGCTTATAGCGCGCTATAGCTCTCTATAATATAGAGTAGAAGAAAGTTTACTATTAATACTATAGAGTTACTCTATAACGTAAAAGATATCTAATTTAATAAAGCTTATAAAAAATAAAGAGTAGATAATAGTTAAGTATATACTTAATCTAGACGCGTAAGAATTTACTCTTTAGCTTACTATTATTTAAGATATAGCTAATAAGCTACTTACTAAGTAAGAAGAAAAAGTTATAGATAAGAACTAGCTAAATAACTTTATTATACGCTATTCTAAGCTTAAAACGTAGCTTAATTATAAGTATAACTATTAGAGAGTAAAGTAAAAAGATTCTATAATTATTTAGATATAGTTTAATCTAGTAGATAATATAAAAATAAAGTATAGTATTACTAATAAAGATATATATAATTTTAATAAATCTAGCTTTATAATAGAAATAATATTATCTTAGATAGTAGTTACTAGCTCTAAAAGATAATCACAACTAAAGAGCTTTTAACTAAATAATTATAAGTAGATTTTAGTAATTATAATAGTAAGAGTAGTAGATAATATATAGATTCTACTATTTCTTATTATTATAAGTAAGAACTATCTCTTAGTATAGTATAAAAGTAGCTAGCTACTATATAACTAGGTTATAGCTATTTCTAAAAGTAGCTAGATAATAAATAAAGTTAGTATTATATAGTTAAAGTACTTTAACGCGTATACTAAGAGTTACGTTATAGATATATATTATCTACTAATTTTAGATAGCTATAAAAGCTATAGCTCTATTATATTCTAGTAGTACTATAAGAAGAATAAAATTATAACTTTCTATATACTAGTATATTTATTATACCTTTTATAGCTACTTAATATTAGCTACTTCTTACTATTAAAGGTAGTATATAGCTACTAAGTTAAAATTCTAATATATAGCTATATTAACTATATTATAAAAACTAAGTTTCTACTTATATATTATATAGCTTTTTATATATTAATTATAGATAATAATATTAGAGTAGAATTTAAAAGTACTAGCTTAGTTTTATTTAATCTAGATTTAGTAGTATTAAAGCTTAAAGTTTAATTACGTATACTAATACTCTCTACTAATAATACTACTATCTAGAAGTATAAAATATCTAATAATCTTATTAAAGTAAAGTTCTAATTAACTCTAATTTAATTAAAAATTATATAGTATCTTAATTTATTACTAACTTATATTATTAAGTTACTTAATTAGCTTAAGAAAGATAATAAGCTAATAGCGTATTAGCTAGTACTTATAGAATCTAAAGTTACCTAGCTTTAAGTAGCTAATATATAGAAAAAGAAGTATAATTTATATAAAAGAAAGTAAATTTAGAAAAAGAATACTCTTATAATTAAAGCTAGCTTATAGCTAGTTACTTAAAGAAAAGCTATAGATTAGAATAAGAGTAAGAAGTAGCGCGAAGAAGTAGTAGTACGTAATAGCTAGCTAGCTTAGTAACGCTATAGATGCTATAGTAAGCTAGAGTATAATACGTAAATATACTAGATAGTTAAAGATAATATAGATAAGTTAGATAGCTTATCTAGATTTATCTTAAGTAGCTTAGAGTTAGAGTAATCTAAATAAGATAGTAGTATTTAGTAGAGGCTTAGTATTTTTAGAGCGTTTATTTATATAGAGCGTTTATTTATAAAGTACGTTATACTAATATATTAAGGCTACTACTTATAAATTACTTTATAGAACTAAAAGAGCTAGATAGAAAGACTTCTAAGATAAAGTAGTAGATTACGTAGAATCTTAGAATTAGCGCGCGTAGCATGCTTATAATCTAGTTATATAAGTAGAATAGCTACACGTATAATAATAACGCGTACACGCTTAAGTTAACATACTATAGTAGTACTAGCATACTATAGCTATACGCGATGCACTCTACGTAGCTAGAGAATTTAAGCAGCTAGCTGCAGTACTATACAACTTAAATACGTAGTTTTAGAATAACTAACACTACTAAGACCTTCCGCTAAGAAGCGACGTAGTATAGAAACTTAAGAGATCTAGCGAAGGAGTAGAGGGACTCTGTAATTGTGCAAGCAAATGCGACAGCAGTTACACAAGCTAGTATAACAGCAAATGCGGAATACGGAGAGGCGTCCAAAACTTCGCTGGGGGTAGCCTACGAGTCTCAAAGCTAGGAGACCATTACCTCGCAGGACGACACCAACGAGATGGTGCAGAATAACACCGATACCTCGCTCGACGAGCTTGCTTTCAACTACAATTAATCACGCAAGCGTCCCAAGCCGCGTCAATCTCGCTCTCGAAAGCGTGCTAGCACTAGTTTAAGCGCCTCGCGAAGCGCTACCATAGGGTCCTAGAAATTTGCAGATAGCGAATTCCACTGCTTCTAGGGCCGCAAGAAGGTTCGCTCGCAGGGCGATTAACCCCGCGATGTTTAGGTGCATAACGAGAAGGGCTGGCCCAACGGCGGAGAAAAACTGTGGTGCATCTGGAAATCAGATAGGACCGCGGATTACCGTTAAGCCTGAGATGAACATATAGTGGATGATATCAACATCTTCCGTTGGCTTTCCGTTGGCTGACCGCCGACGTAGGTGGCGTCAGAAGTTTAGGCTGTCGAATGAGTGTTGACCCCGTAACAATGCGGATTTTGTAACGAGGTAGTTTTAGCTAGAAGTAGGGCTACATTGAACCGAAGGCTCTGCACAGCCAACAGGAAATCATCATAATCACCTTTCAAAGACACCGACACAGTATTGTCAACAACACATTGCAATGAAATTCCGCCTTCGCATTCCCGGCTCGCTTAGCTCTGGCCAAGTTAGCAGCAAGGCCGCCACAGGGTTTAGGCACAATGATACCCTGGAGCTCATTCATTCTCTGGTAAGATCAAGCCAGGGATGATTCTGCAACTCCTCAGCCGTCGCCCGCTCCTCCGGGAGCCAGCATAGCATCCTCCGGATGAAACTCAGGAAAACCTCAACCTCTTTATCAATGATGCATTCCGGAACGATATCCTTCAGATGTCTATTTAAAGGGATCAAGTCATTACCGACGAATTGGCCTATATGCACAAATTAGTTCTAATTTAAGTTGGTTGGAGGTGACCAGCATGGCTCACCATTATTGTCAAAAAAGGGGCCGCCATAGAAATCAGCTGCATTATTGCAAAGCTTGCCTTTGGCATTTACGGCGTCAGGAGCCCATTGCCAGTGCCGCATGTTCCTTTCTCGCTTCACAAGTCCCGGCGGCACGGGACCTAATAGAGCAATCATTTCAGCTAAATGATGCTGGGCGCTGTAAGTACCGTCTTCACCATTAAGCTTCTGGAATAGCTCCTCCCCCGCGAGGAGATCCCAAACCTAATAGTATATAATTAGACTCCAGCTACATAAGCCGTGATCGTTCATCTTACCATGACACCAAAATTCCATATATCAGCACTGTACGACCATCCTGTGCCGAGGAGAACTTCCGGAGCGTGGCAGTGGTCTACTTGAATAGGGTGGATGAGTGGTTCCTGCCTGTCCCCTCGTTGAGCCAAACCGAAGTCTGTAATTTTTGGGCATATCTTCATCAATGCAGGCGTGTCTCTGATGAGCCTGAGATGCCCAAAGTCGTTGTGGGAGAGATAAATCGTCCGATCATCTAACACTTTCTGAGACATTGGTTCCTGAGTTTGACCTTGGATGAATTCATCAATGACTGATTTGTCCTCGAAGGTAACCAGAATATTATCCAGTTTTAAATCTAGTATGACTGTGAGAGGAATCTACATCGTCGACATGCTTCACTTACCTGTGTGGATGATGCTGCATTTTGTGTGTAGATAGTCGAGCCCATCGAGCAAAACTATGATATACAATTTGAAAAAGGGCAGGAAATCTCGAGTGACTTTGTCGGCGCCTAATCTTCTTCGTAATAGCCAAATCGGTTCCCTCATTGGCTCGAAAACGAGACAGAGATGCGATCCATTAGGTCCAGAAATTTCGAAACTGTCTTCCACGGTCCGAACATAGCGATATCCCGATTCGTCCGATTTTGCACTGTCGATGTGGTTCGATATCTCGAGCTCATGCCTGGCGGCCGCTCCATTGTGAGATGTGCAGGCGTTGATTTTGATGGCGACATAGGGCTTCGAACCCCATCGCCATCTCACGTCTTGCGCCAGCCACACCGTCGACGTAGTCCCCCATCCAATCTTTGCTTTCAACTCGAATCTCCCATCTAGGATCTCTCCAGGATTAGGGTGATAGAAGCGTTTAGGGTCGTATCCAGGAATTAACTCTTCTTCAATTGGGATATCTGAGGGGAGGGACTTTGGTGCAGCTGTAGCTTGTGCAAAACTGCGCCCATTCCAAGCGAGTAGCTTGGAAAACATGACTGCCCGGATGCGGAGACTGCGAATACTTGTTGCTGGTAGTTTACTAGCCGCAGAGAAGAGTGTCCGGGAAAGAGACGTGGAGAATGGAGATAGGAACATCTGATTCATCCCCCAAGTCACCTACGCCAATGTCGACCCAGCGACACGGTTGAGCGCGGTGTTGCTTGAATGCAGGAATAATGGAGTTAATATAAAGCATGAAGTAGTCGGTAACGAGTTACACCGCAGAGAGTTGGGCGGCTTTGGGGGGGGGAGGGGAAGTCTGTCCGCTTGGTTGCCGATGGATTGTTGAGGGGTCCAACAAGGCACGTGCGCGTCTTGGCGTTTTGATAAGCGCCCTAGGAACCAAGAATCAGTACGCGCCCCGCTTCCGAGCTTCAAACGACGAGTCATACTGTAGCTATTTATTACGAGTCCCAACCTTGCTGCGCCCTTCGCTCTTCGCCGGTTCCTGCGACTTCCACCGACCGGTTCTTGTCACGGACGTACTTTCTGATGGCCTGAGCCATGTTGGGTAATCATCCCGGCGCTTAAATCGATATCGGGCGCTTGCTGGCGCTATTCTGGGTCCAAGGAATGTCAGCTCCAACATCCCGGCATCCCAGTGTGTCCAATAGCCCAGCTATGGCGGATTGACGCTCCTAGAACTCACAATAGATACTTAACCTTCGGATTCCCCTTAGTGAAAACTCCATCTCCCAATTTGCTTCCGCAATCAACAGATACAGAGCGCATTTATTCTCTTTGCACTCCTTTCTCGCCAAACATGCAAGCAACTAGAGCACTTAAAAAGGCCTTGCAATGGCTCGCCACCCAAGCGACAGGGGTCGAATGGGCGAAACCGAACGTTGAGTATAGCGTTAGCAAATATACGGATTTGGCCGCCAAGGCACATAGCGCAGTCATCACGTTCGTGAATCCCGTATCTGACTAGAACCTGCTGCTAACACGCTAAAGCGGCACCCCCACACAACTCAAAGAACGAACGGTACCGTTGACCCAATGCACGTTTCTGGGGTTATCTATACCAAGAGCCAGAACCGGCTTACTTCCTTCCACGCATATCCAAACGGACTCGTGAAGTTTTCGAAGAGCAGGTACGAAGAGGTTTTGGTTCCTAGTGGTGATCAAAGCTCCAGCTCCCAATCTGCGCAAGCAGCACCAGCTACGCAAACCGCGCCATCCTTGACCTGGCGAGTGGAAAACAATGTGCCGGAATATTGGGACGGGGCTCAATGGGTTGCGGCTCAGTATTTCCATGAACACGGGAAATGGATGTACTATTATGGCAACCAATGGTATGTCTATGGTTAGGTCTGGGGAAAAACCTGTTTTAAAGCTGAGATGCTAAGTCTGGAGCGAGTCGGGCAATGTCCATAGACTTGTTAAGGCAGTTAGCAATAGATGTTACGGATTGGAGAGTCGTTCTACTGGCCTAGTCGAGAGGATATGTGAAAGCATTGATTAGCAAGGATAGCTTCCGAGAACGCGTACTGGTTGGTATATGATCGTCCAAAGCAACTGCGCATAGAGAAGTCAGTACGGTCTTGACTGTAGGCAACGGTGTAAGGGCAGCCTTTCCCTACCTATCCCCTGCCTATCCCCTTGTTCTCCGACCGTAAATTCAATCACCTAAACCCACCCCCGCCAAAGTCCACACTCTGGGGCTCCAAAGGCCTACGTCAGAAACGAAGTCTGCATCAAGGTTCAAGCAAAGTTGACCAACCATCCCTTTCACCAGCGGTAAATGTTCTCAACCTCTCCAGGACTTTCTATCAGACGCCAGATTCGTCGTCCAGCACAATCGGCAAATCTATGGTGTAGTGTGAACAACGTCCGCGGACAGACGAAATATCGGGAATGTGATGTGCTCACCTTGACTGTCGCCCGGGGAACCGCTGACATTGGCGTGACCGCCGGGACTAAGTCCAGCAGCTCCATCGCGAGCAGGAAGACCGTCCTTCAAACTTCCATTGTGAACCAGCCGCTCCGGGCTTGTGGGCTGTCGGCCCAGGTCGGACCTGGCCATCGTTGTTTTCTCCTTGGCCTTGGAAAGCAGGACCGAAAGAGGCGGGAGGTCACTATCCTCGCTGTCGCGTCGGTTGTCACCGCCCTCGTAATCGATGCCGGCAACTTGGGTGCCACCTCGAATACCGTTCTGGACAGAATTGCGCGTTGCAGTAACGGGGCCTTCTGGTACTATTATGCGTCAGATACAACGAGCCACGGTTCCAACCACATGTGCGCTTACCGTGGTCTCCCGATGGATTACCTCGAGCCGCCTGACGGCTTTGAAGAGGATCTTTCGGCTGGTCAGAACCAGTAAGGTCCACAAAGTCTATGCTGCCATCGGCCGTATCCTATCCCACTCGGTACGCTGCCAGCCTCGTCTGCTGGGTATCAGAGGAGGGAGACGGAAAGTAGTAGAGCGAGCGGAGGATGAAGAGGGACGAATAGCATTGCTTTTGAGCGCTGGAGCACTCTTTTGAATGGGTCGGTAATGGATGAAGGTAGCCATGGCAGAGTTGCAGTAGACGCAAATTTGCAGAAATGACGGATGATTGCCTTGAGAAATGTGAGTGGTTTGAGATGGAGACCGCGAGCACAGGAGTGGTGCCCTTTTAACATGTCGACGAACGCTCCCGTCACCCTTCGGTTCAGCTGGACTTTCGAGCCACTGGATTCGCATCCTTGTTCGACAATATGGAGCTCTCCGCACCCACTGGCAGGCTGTGGCTGCTGCGGCAGCTAGGTGGAGCAGATTGCACCGAAACCATGGACCTCATGAGAATTGCGCCTTCCTCTCCCGCATTTTCCGGCCGACATCATTGCGCAGCGCATGGCCCAAAATGCGAGATGGACCATCAAGACGAAATTCCCGCAGCTTCCATCTCGCATACTACTCCCCCCGGACCATTGCTCAGCAGTTGACATACCTTTCTCAGACGCGGCTCTTGAGAGAAAACTCAGTGAGAGATCTCATCCGGTAGATGTCGTCCTTGAGCCACTTCTTCTTCTTCCCGCGGTACCTAGCAGAACAGATACGCAATGCACCCCCCAAAAAGAACTCCGTCCTCACATGCCGTAGTCGGGGCCTCTCCGAAACCTCGCGGTCCAACACCATGCTGATACGATGGAGGCGCAGTGGTGATCAGCTCAAAGGGTCTTTCGCGGCCAAATTCAGCTCACTCCGCTTTCCTTCGCCCCACTTGACGTCGCCGCCGAGTCGTGCTCTGCCCTGCAATAGGGAGCTCGACGATCGCAGGATCAGTGGGAGATCGCGCTGTCCGACGACGGAGGCAGCTAATGCCGGCGCGGATGACGCACACGGAGAGCCCGTTCCGGCTACCGCATGAAGGAGGAGGCGAGCACAGCCCTCGAGACGGGCCCGCTCGGGCACAGCGAAGGCAGAGCCAGTATAACAATGCGCGTTGACGGCCATCCCGAGCTGAAGGTGAAACCGAGGCGCCGAACGGTGGCAAGGCGCAATCTTTCCGGTCAGTCTCCATTGCCCAGCGTGAATCGCACAAAACTCGTTGGTCCTATGGGGCCGATCCTTCGCCGTTCCCGCTGCTGGACGATTGCCAGACAACCTCCAGAGCTGAGGTCATATGGCCGCTCACTTCAGGGATGTTGCTGGTCCTGCCTCCTTCACTGCCGTTCTAGCTTCTCCACGGAGCTCAGAAATCCGACGCGAAAGAAAAGGGGGGCTGACGACACCCTGTCCCTGTGACCTTTCGGCATGAGAATGTTGACGCCGCAAGGCGCACTCGAATGACACATCATGGGTCGTGCAGCAGGGTATTGTCGTCCGCGTGTCATGACGGTATCGCCATGGGACCGGGGGAGGGGAGAAGCCAGTGGAAAGGTGGAGCTCGTTCCGACTCTTGGAAAAGAGAAACCGATGTGCACGAGGTCGGTGGTGGAGGTACGGATTGGAGTGGTCAATTCGACCTTCAGAGGGCCAAAGAGGGCGATGGCTGTGGGACAAAAGTCTCATTAGCACGCAGACAGAAAGTGAAATCGAGCTTGGGGGTTGTGTTGGGCTCATGCGCACTTGCCTCTTCGCATCGACGCTGAGGGGCTAATTGCGGGAATTACTGGGGGCAGCTTCAGCTGTACAAGGGTTAGAGCAGGCAGGGGAGACGAGGCGAGGGCGAAGGGGAAGAGGGAAGAAGAAAGTTTGGGAGGAGGATGGCGAAAACCCAAGCGGGGGGAATGTGAGGGCTATTTAAGCTGGGTGTCGGAAGAACTTTGAGTACGCGGAGGTAAGGTTTCCCCGAAAGAGAACGCTAAACCCGAAGGGGAAATCACAGGTGGACACATTACTTGCCCAACGCGCCAAGGGGTTCCACCCCTTGGCCCTGGACAGCTCAACGCCAAAGACCAGCTCAACGCCAAATTTGTATGCGAGATGGTCAACAATCGTGAATTAAAGCTGAACTATCTGGGGTAACGCGATTTTTACATAAAATCAGCCTGCGATTTGTTCCTGAATATATCCTAAGGCGCTGACTAGCCGCTCCCAGAGCTCTGGTGGTCGTTGGCAGTGCCCTGAAGGTCCTGCTTGTAGCGCTTTGCCGCCTTCCTGGCCACCTTCTGCGCATTAGCTTCGACTCTAGCGTTAACTGCAGCGCGTGCTTTTGCTGTAGTTAGAACGCCTCCCTTCTACACATGCCGCTAAGAGGCACTTTGGCGCTACTTACGCGCCTGCGCCGCCGTAGTAATTTCACGAAGCTTATTAGTACAGACTTAGTAGAGGTTAGCTATCGCTAACGCGCACACTAGAAAGCGCTTAACCTAGTAGATATTAAGCTTTCTCTGCCTTAACTAGTCGCGGATTATAGTAAGCTCGCGCTTATAGTAGTAATAGCTTATATAGTTACTAGATCTAGATATAGATAGTAGTAGTAGTAGCGTAGAAGTGCGCGATAGCTATAGGCGCACCTTCTAGAGTATAATTTCTAGATTCTATAGCTAAATACCCGCCTTCTTCTACGCTAAGAGAATAACGCTAGATCTAAAAGTTACCTTGCGTATACTTTAGATTACGTTAAAAAACTTAAGTTTATTAAAATTAGTATAACTAGTACGCGTAGCTTACTTAATTACTACTTTATAATAGTACTTAAATAGCAAAAAGTATACTATATTAAGTAGCTAGAGATTATAAGAGGTATAAAGAGATAGCGTAAAGTAGATAATTTTCTTCTTATCTACGTAATTAAGAAATTTCTTAGTAGAATAAGAGCTAAATCTATTAAATATAAGTAGCCTCTAGGCACCTTTTTAACGCTTACCTAACTAGAGATTAAAGTATTTAAGCTACTTCTATAAGAGCTTATTATTAGCGTAGCTAGAGAAGAATAATCTAACGCTATAGTTATTAGAGAGCGCGCTATAAGTATACTACTTTTTAAGGTAGACGCTACCTTAGGTAATTAAGAAAGGTAGTAGAGTGTAAGGGCTAGGTTCGCAGTCTCTACTACTATAAGCGCCTCTAGAACACCTAGCTAGGTAAGTTAGCTGTAGGCAGCACTGTCTCCACGAGCTGTAAGAATAAGGGGTGCTAGTAGGGTAGGTTAGGTTAAATTTAGCTATCCAAAGGTAAGGAGCAGAAGAATGCTCCGAGAGCTCTCTATATACACAGGGTGCCTATGCCAAGGCGCTAGGCAGGGTCATGTGACTTAGGCGGAGCCAAGTCAGGCCGAAGCACTAAGTCGGAGCTGAGTCGGACCGTCACATCATCCCCCCTCACAGGGAGGGCTCGTCCCCGAGCCCTAAGGCTCTCTAGTCTCCTACCTGTATAGGCTTTAAATCCTCCGCCGTCTTCTGCAGTATCTCCTCCCTCTTATATGCCTTGATCCAAGCATTCAACCGTGATAGGAGCCCTGGCTTATCTGGGTATGCTTTTTCGTTTGAGAGGGGGGGGGGTATCAGCTGCTAGCAGGGCAGCTGGTTGTCGGCTCTGCTGGCGGAGCAGAGAGGTATCGGCTGCTAGCAGGGCAGCTAGTTGTCGGCTCTGCTGGCGGAGCAGAGAATTGTCGATTTTCGAAGCAGGGGGGG